CGCCTCTCGCGTGACAGCGCAGGACAAAGACAAAAGGCGCAACCCGAAAGCGTCGTGGCCTTAGGAGTGCGCGTGCGCGAGAGGAAGACGCCCTCGAACTACATTTCCCAGAAGGCTCCGCGGCTCGTCGGCGTCCCGGCGTCCCAGGAACGCTGGTCGCCTAGAGACGCGGAGACGACCGCCCACTCCGCAGCTAGTTTCCTGAGTTCACTTTTGGGAGAAACGTGGAGAATTAGGATTTTAAAAGACTAGGACTTAAAATCAAAATATAGGTTAAAAGAAAAGACAATTGGCTTAAGAATTCAATTGATGAATACAGAAAAAGTTGAATACATTCATGGAATGTTTTAAGGAAAACAGGAATTAACGGAAAAAGGTAAAGCTGATCCATAATTCAAGTGCTGTGGAGGCAAATTATCAGTAAGTATACTTATAAAAAGGAGAGAGAAGGGTAGGATGAAAAAACAGACTAACCATAGAAAACAGGAAACAACGAGAATCCTCTCTGTGGTAATAAATTTGAAATTCTTTGTGACACAAATAGATGAATCAAATTTGACCCAGGAGAAAACCTAATCATGGATAAAAATGAAGACAAGAGATTCTCTGCCGAAAAGCATCAATCATCGAGTTTCTGGTGAATTCTTTCAAACATCCAGTGATCAGAAAAGTCTTATATTTAAATAGTTCCGGAGGAATTAGAAGAAGGAACTTTATTAAATGGCATAGGACACCCAAATCGACAAATGTATATTTTGAAAAGGAAGCTTAGAAAAAACCTGATTGTGACTATCCATGCAAGAATACTATGAAATTCCTAACAGAAAAAGCTGGCATACCTTACAAAAATATAACCACGTGGAGTCTATTCTAGAAATACAAGCATGTCAGGATATCCGTTAATATTACCATATCGATATGCCAAAGGAAAAGATATAATCACCTCAATAATAGGAAAAGAAAAGTGAAATTTAAAAGTATATTCTAGATTTTAAAAAAATAACAAATTAGAAAGTGTTTCCTACTTTAACATGATAAAAGTATAGACTTAACCATAAAGCCAGTATACTACTTAATTATGGGACATTAGAAGATAGGAATAAGATATGAATTTTAAAGATCAAGATCAAGATTTTTAAAATTTGACTAATATTTGAAATGCAGAACATGTGGATAATGTGTTCAGTCATCACTGCTGAAGTTTACACTTTTCTACACCATTAGGTTTATTCCACAAATTGTCTATTATTCTCCTTTGCCTATTTTTCTTTTGGGTTATCTTTTTCTCCTAGATTCATGGATTTGAATGTATATTGTTTGCTAATCCTCAACATGCAATATATGTTTTAATTTTTTTCTGTCTATTTGTTGTCCTTAAACTTTGGTTATAAAATTCTTCATCTCTTAGATTTTAGTTTTGACATTATAAAATATAACTTTTTCTTTATGGTTTCCTTTATGGTTTCCATTAAGTGACTTAAGAAATCTTTCTCCATCCTGATACCATAAAATATTTCCTTGCACTATCTTCTAGTAGTTTTGGCATTTGGCTTTGACATTTACGTTTTAATCTATCTGAAGTTGTGTGTATTCAAGTCGTGTGAGATACTGATCTAATTTGTTTCCATATGGGAAGCCGATTTCCTAACCCCAAGTGTATTGCTTTGCTAAGGCTGCCATAACAAAATTCTATAGACTGGGTGGGGTAAACAACAGAAATTTTGGTCATAATTCTGAAGACTGAAATTATGAGATCAAGGTATTATCAGGTTTGGTTTCTTCTGCAGACTCTCTCCTTGGCTTGCAGGTGCCTGTCTTCACTGTGTTGTCACATAGTTGTCTCTCTGTGTATGTGTCTGTATCTGTGTCTTAATCTCCTCTTATAAAGACACCAATCATTTTAGATTGGGGCCATCCGTTTGACCTTATTTTGCTTTAATTATCTCTTTAAAGTCCCTGTCTCCAAATCACATCCTGAGGTGCTGAGGGTTAGGACTTCAACATATGAATTTAAAAGGGAGACACAATTCAGTCCGTAACACCAGGTATCAAATAGCCTATTCTTTCTTCAGTATTTTAAATTAACTTCTTTTATATTTGAAGTTTTTATATATATTCATAGGTCTCTTTATGGAATATCTTTTCTGATTATTGACCTATTAATCTATCACTGTATGAATACCACATTGTTTTATTATTCTAGCAAAATAAAACCTTTTGTATCTAAAAGGGAAAATTCCTGTAATTGTCATGCTTGTGCATTATTGTGTTGGATACTTTGAGACCTGTGAACTTCCATGTAAATGTTAGAATCTGTCATATTTCAAGAAAATAATATTGTTTTGATAGTTGTATTAAATGTATATTTTGTAAGAATTAGTATTTTTATTATATTGACTACATCAATATATCTCAATTTTCTTTTCAGCTTTTTTTGTGAACTTTAATAGTATTTTATCATTTTATAATTTCTCAGTTGATATAAGTTTTTAAAAGATTTTTTTCTAGATGTCATTTTAAGTTCAACATTGTGTGAGATGTATTCCTAAGTAGTTTATCACTCCTATTGATATCATGAAGGCAAGTTTTTCCTCCTAGTATATTTTCTTATTGGCTATCATGCTATAGACTGAATGTTTGTGTACCTCCAAAATTCATATATTAAAATCCTAACCCCCCCAGTGTGACTCTATTTGGAGATGATGCATCTAAGGAAATTAAGGTTAAATGAGGTCATAAGGTTGGGACCCTGATCCCATAGGATTAGTGTCCTTAAGACTTTCCGGGCACATACCCCAAGGAAAGGCCATGTGAGGACTTCTGGCGGCAGCAGTCCTCGTCAGTGAGTGTTCCTGTGAATGAGGTAAAAGCTGCGTCTCCTTTCGTGGCCTTGCCTTGGAAGCCACACGGCTTCATTTGTGCTGTATTCTCTTGGCTACGAGCACAACACCAGCCTATCGAGATTCAAGCAGCAGGGATCACAAACCTACCTCCCCCCTGGAAGGGAGGGATGGCAAAGTCACATAGTCACACCATCGAGAAGGGTGCTGGATGGCAGATATCGCAGCCATCTTTGAAAACACAGCTCACTGCAGTTTGCCTTCTGTCTAACAACTCACATCCGCAAACTGGACTCATAGTCTCCCCCGAGACCTCTAATGCCTCCTCCCACCATGGCGTCAGCTTGGAGTCCAGAATCCCATCCAGCCAGGCGCTACAACAGACAGGGCTCTGGGGGCTGCTCCCATGGGTAAAGCTCAGTAGGGGCTGTTCCTCTCAACCTGATGCCTGTGAACTAAAAGACAAGTCCTTGTCATTGAAATATGGTAGGGGGCAGATGTCGGAAAACGCTATGGATAGTCCTACCGGAACAGACAACAGGAGTCCCTACACAGCAGAGATTCCTGAAGCCCGCTGGGTACGTTACCAGCTCGTTAACTGGACCCGGCCTGCTCTCTGGGAGTCTCGGCCATAGCTCTGGGTTGTACCTGGCGGATCTCGGTTCTGCCTTCTGGGTCATCCTTCCTTAGTCCTAAGAAGTGACCCATGTTGACAACTGAATATCTTCTTCAGCCTCCTTCCTGCCCCCCAAAACAATAGGAGTCCAACTCTTTATTTTGTACAAGGTTTGTCCTTTTCAGTACAAGTTTATATCATTTTAAAACTTTGTGGTATACATGTGTATGTATTTTGTACTGCCTTTCAGTTTACAGTTAACATTTGTTTTTTTTCTACTTGTTGCTTTGAACCCTATAGTTAGCCACACTTCTGCCATGATTTTATCCTGTATTTTTCTTTCTACTCACTTTCCAATTTCACCGTTTTTCTTTGTTAGATACTCATGACACTGTTGACTCTTTAATTAGCACATCTCCAACCTCAAATAGTTTTGGGAATTGAGGTTGTAATGCAATTTTCTTCAAAACGATTTTCTGTAGACTTGCGACTGCGTCCATAGAGCACATTGGCTGACTCCGTTGACGTACCTCTTTGGCCACAAGTGAGTCACCGGCCAACAAGACTCTTAGCAGGAGAAGCAGCATAGTCACATTGTAGAGAGGACATGAGATGATATTTCCACAGCCCTTTTTGGAAAATAAAATCTGCCATGTGTCAAAAATGGTTGACAGTTGGTAATTTCATACAGTTCAACCTAATACAAACATATGTAAATGTGTGGGGTATGAAAGTGGATTGTTTTATTCAGAAATTTTCCATCTATTAGATTGATGTATAATTATTTTGTCCATACTGCCTCTATCTATGTTTGGCATGAAGGTTATAGTAGGATTGTAAAATGAATTTGGGAGTAATCTGTCCTTTAAACTTTTTTTCTAATACTGCCAGTATAACACAATACTTATTAAGATTTCCCAAGTTTTACTTACTCATTTGTGTCTGTGTGTAGAGATTTAGTTGTTTCACCTTGTAAGTTCATGTATCAACAAACACAGTCAAGACACTGAGCAGTTCCAACACCACAAGATTTATTTATTATTTTCTGTATTTCGATACTTTCGCAACTGGATTCAATTTATTAAACCCCATTTTATAAAGTTTTTCCAATATGTAGAAATAGGATTGATTTGGATATATTTACCTGACATCCCATGACCTTACTAAATTCATTTTTTCTTTTTACCTTTTATTTAGAAATGATTTCATACTACTGAAAAGAAAATATAGTACAGGATTACAGAAAAAAAAAGAATCCCTAAACACTTTTTACCTATATTTCCCAAATGTTGACATCTTACTACGTCTGCTTTCTCTATAAAGAGCATGTCTCCCTTGTGAGGCAGAAGCGTGAGCCACAGACTAGTTCCTCTACACTCCTGAACACTTCCATGTGGACCTCAACAAGGTCATTCTGTGATCTGACCATGGGAAAATCATCAACATAAGGAAATTCACACAAAGGCAATACTATTATCTAATATACAGAACTTATCCACATTCCACCAGTTGTCCTGATAATGTCCAAAAACCAAAACTTGGGGCAGTGCCCATGGCTGGACATCTTTAGTCACCATTATACTGGGACAGTCTGTCGGTCTCTCTCTCTCTGTCTCTCTGTCTCTCTGTCTCTCTCTCTCTGTCTCTCTCTCTCTCTCTCTCTCTCTCTCTCTCTCTCTCTCTCTCTCTCTCTCTCTCTCTCTCTCTCTCTCACCTCGACATTCTGGAAAAGTGCATTTTCATGCTTTATGGCCCTCAGCTATGTGTGTGAGATGCTTCATGATTTAGATTTGGGTGATGCATTTTTGGCAGGAATAAAAAATGATGTTGCATCCTCAGAGAATCATATCAAGAATTTCATGATATTTGTACCAATAATGGCAGATTTCGATTGCTTAATTAAGGTGATAAATGCCATATTTCTCTTTTGTAAAGTTATTAGTTTTCCATTTGTAATTAGCGTTTTTGTGGGCAGATATTTTGAAACTAATGAAATATTCTCATCAAGCTTTCCCCTACCTAGTTTTAGCATTCATGGATGATTCTTGCCTTTCCTTTGGTATCATGATAGCCCAGCATAAGGAAGTTTGCCCTTCCCCCTACAAGTTTATACATTTATATACTTACATGAATATGGATACATAGATTCTTATTCTTTGTGTTAAAACCCGTTATCATTATTTGGATGCTGAAACTGTCCCAGATTTGACTAGTGTTATCAAGCCGATTGCAGTTTCCTTTTGACAAGACCCCATTATTAAATGTAGAGGCTTGTTCTATAGCCTAGCATTTGGTCTGTTCCACGTGCACTTGGGAAGAATGTACATTCTAGTGTGGTTGGTGGAGCGCTCCATATCTGTCTGTTCGGTCTACTTGGTTTATAGTGTTGTTCAAGTTGTCTGTTCCCTTGTCGATTATGGGTTGAATTCTCTCCCCCTAAAAGACATGTTAGTGTCCTAACCCCCACACCTCAGAATGTGACCCTATTTAGATAGTCTTTACAGAAGTTATCATGTTAAGATGTGGTCATTAGGGTGGGCCCTGAGCCAATATAACTGGTATCCTTATAAAAAGGAGAATTTTGGATGCAAAAATAGACACACAAAGGGAAAGAATGATGCTGAGACAAAGGGAGAAGATGGCTACAAGCCAAAGAGAGGCTTGGAACAGACTCTTCCAACCCTCAGAAGGAATCAGTCCTGCTGGCACCTTGATTTCAGACTTCTAGCCTCCAGAACTGAGACAGTAAATTGCTGTTGCTTAAGAGGTCCCCAACCTTTTCGGCACCAGGGACCAGCACTCCTCTGAGCAATCTAACGCCTGAGAAGCTGAGGCGGAGCTGAGGCGGTGATGCCTGCGCTGGGGAGCGGCTGCTAATACAGATGAGGCTTCGCTTGCTCCCCCACTGCTAACCACCTGCCCTGGTTCCTAACAGGCCACAGACTGGTACTGGTCTGCGGATCAGACGGTGGGGTTCCCTGGTTTAAACCACTCATTTCGTGGTACTTTGTTACAGCGAATAAAATTTTTTGGTACTGGAAAATAGGGTGCTGCTCTTAGTAAATGCCTAAAAATGTGGAAGTGGCTTTGGAACTGGTGGAGGATGGAAGAGTTCTGCACTTGATGGAAAAAGCCCACCTTGCCTGGAGGAGACTGGGTAGAAATATGGATGTTAAAGGTACTCTGGGAAGGAGTCAAATAAAAACCGTAACATGTTATTGGAGACTGGAGGAAAGGGGGATCTTTGTAATAAAGTAGCAGAGAACTTGTCTAAATTGTGTTCTGTTTGGCAGAAAGTAAAACTTAAAATGAATTGGGATGTTTAGCTGAAGAGATTTCTAAGCTAAGGTTTTAGGCATGGCCTGACTTCTTGCCGCTAATAGTAAAATGTGACAGGACAGAGGTAAAGGGAAGAATGAATTGTTAAGCATGGAGAAACCGGACCTTAAAGACTTGGGAGACTCTCAGCTCATCCGTATTGCTAACAGCAGGAAAGCAAACCATGGAAAGAACACAGAGGGTGTGGCTGGACAGCTGTTCGTTAGAGATTAGGTGTGTGACTTGTGAATCCAGTTAGCCATCTCAGCAGAAATGCTACCAACTAGGACTGAAGGGGACAGAGAAGGGCTGACATGAAGGAATGTTTATGGCCCCTGGGATTCTATACGCAGGAAACAGGTTTATAGAGCTATCTAGCTGTAAACATGGGTTATCCTTTAAAAGAACAAAAAGAGGGAAAAATGACTCCGAGGACGGCACCTTGGGGCCAGAAAGTGAAGCTACCATTTCAATTCCAGAGAGCTGGTCTACCATGCAGGGATGAACGGACAGGGGCGCCACCCCAGCGGGCTCAATGGACAGAGCATTTAGCCACAGAGGATTATCCTCATCTTAAAATCGAATGGCATTTGCCCAGCCAGATTTCGGTCTTACTTGGGACTCACATCCTTTTCCCAGATTTCTTCCTTTTGGACTGGGAATGCTGACCCCGTGCCTGTCTGCTCATTGTATTTTGGAGGCAGACAATTTGTCTGGCTTCACAGGCTCCCAAATGGAGAGGAAATTTGCTCCAGGATGAATCATACCACAAGTCTCACCCATACTTGATTTAGATGAGATTTTGGACTTAGAGTTAATGCCAGAATGGATTAAGCCTTTTGGGGATGTCGGACTGGGGTGAATATATTTTGCATGTGAAAAAAACATGAGTTTAGTAGGGTGGGACAAGAAGGCAGACTGTTACGGAGTGAATTGTGTCCTTCCGAAAAAGGCGTGTTGGTTTCCTAACCCCCAGTACCTCAGAATGTGAAGTTAGAGCTAGGGCCTTTACGAAGATGACCAAGTTAAAAAATTAGAACATTAGGATGAGACCTGACCCAATATGACTGGTGTCCTCATAAACAGAGGACATTTGGACACAGAGCTAGTGACGACAAGGCATACGGTATTGACAGAATAAGTTTCCTCCTGCAAGGCACGGTCCACTTTTTCAGGGAAGGGAAGGGACTCTACGATCAGGAATTGGCAGGTTTTGTGGGCAATGGCGTGTCTGCCACAATTCCTTAACTCGGACAAGGACCTGATTTTGTTTCAGAAAAAAAACTAAATAAACCACATACCCTACTTTCCTCTTTGTTACCTGCAGTTCTCCAGGGCAACAATTTATCGACTAAAGCTCTGCAGTTACAAGAAAGAAAACCACATTCTCCTGAACTTTAGCAGAAAAAGGTATGCAGAAACACACATAAGGCCAGCAAGGGACAGTATCCAGTTATTCTGGAGAAAAAAAACACAGGAGGAAGTAATTGATGGTCTCATTAGAATTCTGGGACAAGAATCAACGAATTCCCACATTTCCCTACTCATTCGGGTGAGATTGGAGACTCACATTCCTGGGAAAGAAGCTACCGTTGCCCAGCAATGGACACAGTGCTCACCTGTGGCCAGTGGGAAGGACACCCTACAAGACACAACCACAAGGACACACACAACAGAGGAGAGGTATTTCTCCAGAGAAAAACTGGGTGTTCTTCTCAGTCAATAGGAACAGACACTGAACTGCTAAAATATACTCCAGGTCATTACAATGAGTGGCCTTAAGCAGCCCTTTAATGCCTGCCAGACTCACTTACGTAGACTCATTTGGAGTGAGAACTGTATCTTTTCATGTATTAAAAGCCACATTTTATATTGCTACAAAATAAAGAGACAATATTTATGTTTAGCATTTAATATGGAGAATATTGGAGGATGTTGTTCCACAAACTATCAAAATATGTATAACATGTAACATTAAAAAAATACCAAAAGTTTAAAAAATGCCATTCAGTGTTGCTCAGGAAAGTCACATTAAATACCCCTTAACCTTCAGAATATGTTCCTGGCTGTTTTCCTCACCATTATTTTATTTACATCTTAAAGTAAAAAACTTTATACTCCACCATGGAAAAAAATCTACCATTTAGAGATTTTCTTCCCTCTAAAACAAAGCTTTAAATCGGGAGTGTGACTCTCCACATAACACATTTCCTATAGGAAAATGCTTTCCCAATTTACTAAACTTATAAAAGGTTCTCAATAAGAATTCTTCAAATTAAATCTTCATAATGATGTCACTACATTTGATAGTTACTGCTCGATTCCTTCAATTATTCTCACCTATAAAGATCTGTGATATTTTTTGTACACTTTGCACATTCATTCCAAACATGATTGGTTTCTATCCTGTATGACTTGATATGAGTGGTCTTAAGACTTCCTGCTTATATATCCTGTCTAAATTGTCATCTGAAATCTCCTGAGGCTCAAGTTCTGTTAGAATGCTTCTACCATCTACTTCATTCTAATTTCTCACTTGTGAGTTTTTCGATGTATACGGAGCCCTGAATTCCAACAGAAGGACTTTCCACATTCAGAACATTTCCATGGCTTCTCTCCTGTATGAACCCTTTGATGTTCACTGAGAGATGACTTCTGAGTGAAGGCTTTCCCACATTCACTACATTTAAAAGGTTTCTCTCCTGAATGAGTTTTCTGGTGTATCTGAAGTGACGCCTTCCTGGGATAAGCTTTCTCACACTCAGTGCATTCATAGGGCTTCTCTGTTGAGTGAGTTCTCTGATGTATGATTAGCTGTGACTTCCCACAAAAGGCTCTCTCACAAAAACTACATTCATAAGGTCTCTCTCCTGTGTGTGTTCTCCTGTGAATAACGAGGTATGACTTGCTGCTGAAAGCCTTCCCACATTCGCTGCATCCATAGGGCTTCTCTCCTGCGTGAGCTCTCAGATGTGCAGTGAGCTGTTCCTTCCTACCAAAGGCCTTCCCACATTCACTGCATTGATAGGGATTGTTTCCTGTGTGAATTCCTTGATGTACGACAAGCTGTGTCTTCATATTGAAAGCTTTCCCACAGTCACTGCATTGATAAGGTTTCTCTCCTGTGTGCATTCTGATGTGAACGAGGAGGTATGACTTACTCCTAAAGGCTTTTCCACACTCGTCGCACTTATGGGGTTTCACTCCTGTATGAGTTCTTTGGTGCACAACAAATGGTGATTTCAAACTAAAGGCTTTCCCACATTCTCTGCATTCATAGGGTTTCACTCCTGTGTGGCTTCTCTGGTGTAGAATGAGCTGTGATTTCCAGCTGTAGGCTTTCCCACATTCACCGCAACCATAAGGTTTCCCTCCTGTGTGGATTTCCTGATGGACAATGAGCTGTGACCTGAAAGAGAAGACTTTCCCACATTCGCTACATGTGTAGGGTTTTTCTCCTGTGTGAACTCTCTGGTGAGCATTAAGGTTTGACTTGGCACTGAAGGCTCTTTCACACTTAGTGCATTCATAAGGTCTCTCTCCTGTGTGGATTCTGAGATGTACAATGAGCTGTGATTTGCAACGAAAAGCTTTCCCACATTCACCACATACGCAGTTCTTTTCTATACTATGAGTTCTTTGATGGTTAAGAAAATACGATTGTTCATATCCGTGAAACTTATCAGGATTCTTTCTTAGATAGCTTCTGGCTAAACCTGAGTTTTGTGTCGAATTTTTTCCGTGAGTGTTATACTTAGGAAGTCTTTGTCTTGAAGAAACATGAGTTTTGCTCAGATGAAGTTTTCCAAATGCATTACAAGCATAGTTTCTCTCAATACTTTGAAGCTCATCTTGGTTTTTCTGGTACCATTCTTTCCAACCTTCTAGGAAAAAAAAAAAAACCACAATTTGAAAAAATCGAGCAAGCATCAAAACCAGATATGACAGGGCTATTGAAATGATCAGAATGGGAATTTAAAACATTAGATTAATATGCTAAGGACTCTGATGGATAAAGCAAACAGCATGCAAGAACAGATGCGCAATGTAATCAGAAAGATGGAAATCCTAAGAAGGAACTAAAAAGAAATGCTCGGATAACATTGACCAGCTATGGAATTAAAGAGCTTTAGACTGCCATGTAATGAGTCTTTTCCTCTTGGTAACAGGCCTTGGACACTGGTTCCAAGAAATGCTGGCCAAGTGCACATGTGCCAGAGATCAATGCATGGGAGTGAGGAACTGAAACCAAACCCGACCCCATTGTGGAAATGGGCAGCAAATTAGCAGTGATCAAAACGGTTTTTAAAATAGAAGTTTCAAATATTTAGCCCACACTTAGAAGCCAATGCCAATTTTTTTATATCTGAATTTTATCATTGTAGTTTTCTCAAACAGTGAGTTTGCGAGGTACAGAATAACCAGCGTATGACAGTTAGGTACAATGAGACATTAAAAAATGAGAACGAGGGAGCCATAAGAAAATTAAGGGACTGAGCACTCCAAACAGGAGAAAGTGAAAGTACACAGTTCCTGAGGAGAGACCCCGACTTGTCCTGGCTAAGAAACAGAAAAAAGGCCCAGATCGCTAAAACCCACTGAGTGGGAAAAGTAAAGGTAAGGCCATGGCAAAAGAGTTTTAATCTTACCCAGAGGATTTTAATTAGAGGAGATCTGTTTGTCTGTGCTTTCAAAAGTTCACATTGGCTGTTAAGTAAAAAATGAGTAAGAAAAGGGCAGAGACATGGCTTAGAAAGCTGCTGCAGTGATGCAGGTGCTACGACAGAGGCTTGGACTGTACTTCTGGAGCTGAGCGCATGGGAACATATCTGGAGAGAGAACCCAGAAACTGTTCGTGGAGACGGATGTGGGAGCTGAGAGAACGGGGGGATTTAATAAGTGCTGGATTTTAGACATTAGAAACAGGTGGTGCGCCTCTCTGGATGGAAAACACTGGCAGAGAAACATGTTTGGAGAAAAAAATGAAGGGCTTTTAGATCTTATGATGGCTAAGATCTCAGCTAAATACCAAAATGGACAGAGCACGCAGGATGTCAAACCAAAGTTCAGTGCTAACAGCAGAGGAGTCAAGAGCATAGAAGTTGTTAGGCGGCATGCTAGATGCCATCATCTAGGGAATACATGCCAACGAGAAGAGATGCCTTGATAGCCCTAGAGCAGACGACACTGGAGGGGACAGGAGATGCAGAGAGAACGGGAAGGTCCAGCGAGGCCCGAGCAACAATATGACAGCAAGCGTGACGCATTACAGGGTTAGAGGGATGCGGCGGCAGGTCCAGGCCTGGATGGCACACCTCGTGTCATTATGAGACGGCTGCGGAGGATCGTCAGTAACTTCCCACTTCCTTCGGACTTCGGGCTAAACACTTCTTTCCCACCAGCGGTGAGACGCTTCAGGGCATGGTGTGTGCCTGAGAGAGGCTTGCTGAACTCAAGCCACTAAGACTGGGGGCCAGGAGAGAGGAATTCTCAGGCGACAGACTACGCCAGACAATTTTTGGTGGTTGTTCCTGGCTTACCAGAAACTAGGGGGGAAAAAAATAGAAAACTGGAAGCCTCTCATGTTTTGAAGGGGACCCTAAGCCTGGTCTGATGACAGCCTACGGTTCCTCAACCCTCAATGTCCCAAACTGGTACCAACAGAAGTGGGCTAATGAAATTATAAATAGCCCATAGACAGGGCACTCTCCCCAACCCTTACCTCATCTGTGGCCAAGGAGGACACCAGGAAGGGAGACCCTCTCGGAGTGAAGTGCCAGGAGCTGTGAACTGGCTAACGAGGAAATTACACCGACATTAGGGAAACGAGTCTTCCCTAACCATTTTCTCAGAGAGATGAAGCAAGCATGGGATGACTGATGGCTGCTGTCTCCCCTCCTCCCCTTCTGGAAGGAGGGGCTTCTATTAGAATGTTCTTTTCCTTCCCCACCACCGTGTATGTCTGCAATAGACTACCTGCCTAACTACATGTCAATTCAGATCGTGAGGCCACAATCTTACCTGTCCAATGGTACTGCACACATCCCAAGGTCCTAGATTGCAACTGGGCTCAGGGGTAGGATGAGAACACGCACTGCCCCACTTTGGGAAGGGTGACGGCCTTGCATGTTAACATCGGCATTTCTGAAGACGTACAGGTGGGCAGAAGAGCACGCTGAGTCCCAGAGGTGGGATTCTGACACACACCGTTCACTGCGCACCCAAAGGCATCTCCCCCTCTATTGTGCAGCAGCCCTTGAGGATGTGGCCCAAGGGGTCTGGGCAGCGGAGGCAGAGCCCAAGCCCCACGTCGCGACTGCTCTAGGCACTAGCAGCAGTTGTTAAGAAAATGTGGGAGGCCTCTGGGAAGGATTCTGGGCCCCGACGAAAGAGATATCGTGGAAGGGAATAGGACTTACCCAGTGGTTCCTGCTGTGTCTACATGGGATGCCTGTCACTGAGATACCTACCCGCCCACACTGAAGGGAAAAGCGAACATCCGCAGATGACAAAGCGGAGCCGGATGAAACTCCGATCCCTGACGTCACTGAGCCTCTGACTTAAGGCACTGGGGAGCTGCTGTCCTACGACAGACACAATGTCTTTGAGACTACAGATTCTTATTGTTTACTCTGGTTGAGTCAGAGGTCTAAGATACTTGTTTATTTTCTTGGACTGGTGATAGGATGCTCACAAAAATAAATCCAGCAGCAACAGCTGAGGAGCAGATTCGAGTTCTCAAATGTGGCTAACAATCTGAGCCCCCAGCCGTCAGGATACAGGACCAGAAGTCCGGCAGCAGCACTAAAAATGGGAAAAGTGAGGAGGAAGTGGGGGTGCAGAAGAAGTCCCCCCCCCCGCTGACGCTGGTGAGAATGCAGAGCGCGAGAGCACGGGGCTCCGGCCAGCACGTGAAAGCCAGGACTGGAGTGGGTCAGAAAAAGAGGATGAGAAAGTCAGTGCTGCTGTTACAACGCTGGGAGAGAAAAGCTCAAATTTTCAGAATGGAGGAGGCTTCCTACAGTTACAGCGTAGGAGCGGACAGCCAAATTGGAGAAACGGACCCCTCTGGACAACGCAAAAGAGACAAGGAGCCGGGGAAACGTAAAGTCACTTAACAATACCGGGGAGACGAGGCCAGCTTTTGAAATCCTTTTACGAAAAGTGCCCAAGAAAGTAACAGTTATAATTTCAAAATGACCAGTGTGAGAAGAGAGAAGGAAGCAATGAAATCTCCTGTGACAGTGGAGGCGAGAGGGAGGGAGGGCTGGCGTCGTCTCGGGGACTGCACCGCGGAAGGCCACGGGGAAAGCAGATGGAAGGGAAGAGGCAGCACGAGTCACGCCTCGTGAGAGAGAGGAATTCCCTTAGGGCTGGGTGCCTGATGCATCCATGACCATGGAAGGAAGGCAGAGAAAGGTGCCCGAAGGAAGGAAGCTCACCCCAAAAGAGCACTGAGCGGAGTGCACGGAGGGCGAGCAGGCCTACCTCTCAGAGGCAGGGCAGGAAAAGAAAGGCCAAACGTGAAGACCACCTGCCATTTCCTCATCTGAGGAGCTCGCAGGCTCACACCAAGTCACCCCGGTGGTTCAAGGACTTCAAACGGAGGTCTCCGCGTCCAGCACGGCCCGCGGGCTGCGCGGTGCACGCCCCCGGCTCCCATCTTCCTGGCTGCCGCTCACCCACCTGCACAGCTCTCGTGAGAAATTCTGGCACTTAGGATCCAGGGCTCTTCTCCTTGCTCCAACTTGAAGATTAAATCGGGTTTGGTGCCATGATACCCTGTTAATGGAAAATCACAAAGGATGTGGGCCGAACTGCCAGGGACTAAGGGAGCGGGAGCTAGAGAATGAACTGCTGCTTGCACTTGGGGAAAGACCACAATTAAGAGGTGACAGCCGAATAGAGAAAAAGAACATTTGACCCCTAAAGTTTAAGTCCATAATCTTCAAGTACTTCAGAGGCCCCAGGGTTGATCAACAAAAGAAAAGGTATGGCAACTAAGATTCACAGCAGCTAAACAGAGCAGCTGGACTCACCCACAGACACCAGGTTGCGGTAGTTTTCCAGAATCACTTCTCTGTACAGGTACCTCTGCGTGGGATCCAGCAGCTGCCATTCTTCCCAGGTGAACTCCATGGATACATCCTTGAATGACAATAACCCCTGTAATAATATACACCCCACTCAATCGGATGCAATCACAGTAGGGGACGTGGGAAGGACGGAGAGGAAGCAGGGAAGGAGCAACGTTCCTTCGCGCTGCCTCCTCCAGGCTCGCGCATATTTTCAGAGAGAACTGTTTAAGAAAAAACCTCTGAGTTCTGTGTGCCAGATACTCTGTCGTGTCCTGAGGATTTCAGGATGAGTACAGTACACTTCTGCCCTCGAGAAGCTTTCGGTCTTGTACAAGGAAACAAACATCTATACGTGCAAATGAAAGTGTTTGAGTCTTTGTAAAAACACGCCTAGGATACGTTTTGCACAGAGATGGAGAGAACAATTCTAAATAACGGTGCCACATGGGAAGGTCTGATGCTCCAGAAGCGTCTGGCATCTTGCCAGCTGCTCAGCCCGTCCCGGGTCTCAGTGGGAGTGACAGCCTGGCACTATAAAAAACACGCCAAACAGGTGAATTCCAAGCCTTCTTTCAAGAAAATAAGTGGCTGCGACTGAGGCCCACCAGGGCTCATGGGACATGGTAACGACTTGGGATTTTATTCCAAGTGAGGAGGAACCACCAGAGGCCCTGAACAGGAGGGGCGCGCTCTGCCTCGGATCTGAGGCCACCCTGACTGCCGTGGAGAAGGGAGCGGTCCGGTTCCGGTTCCGGTTCCGCGGGGAGAGGAAGGTAGCTGGGGCCGCAGCAAGCGCAGTGGGGCAAAGAGCAGGGGCGGGATTCTGGGCATGATGTGCAGACAGACAGAGGACGTCCTGATGGAGGTGACATGGCACGTGGAGTGCTGAGGACAGAAGGGTCCTGGCCAAGCAAACCGAAGATGCTGCCCTTCGAGGAGCCCGGGAGCCTGAGGGACGACGGGCGGATGGCAGTGAAGAAGCTGCTGGAGAGAAGCAAGCCACTGAAGTGGGTCACTGAGGGAGAAGTGCCCCGTGCAGGAGAGTGCCTGTGGGGGATGGGGAGGGGACAGTGTCTCACGCGCAGCCCAGATGTCCACTAAGCCCGCCGTCAGGAGGGACAGACCTGTGTTAGGATTTCAGTAAGTGAGGAATCCAATCTGCTATGTGTTTCCTGGGGGAAATTCTGAAGACAAGACTGCTAGAGCGCTCCGCAAAGGCAGGCAGGTGGGAGCTGACACCCAGAAGGTTCCCGGACTCGACACCGGGACACACTCCTCCTCAACAGCATCGCCTGCAGGGAGAAGGGCCCCGGAGAGAAGAGACAGCAAGTGCGATTCTGGGGGAGCCTGAAGAGGTGGGAGAGAGAACGGCTCACAGCAGGAACATACAAGGTAGAGCCCTGTCACAGGCTCCAAGCAACCCCCATGGGGCTGGCCACTGACTGCCAGACAGAAGCGTCTAATGTCTAACCACTGATCTTCCCATCCCTACCTAGGGGACCCCCCACAGGAGGGCAACTAGAAGATGCAGTGGGAATAGAGAGAAAGCGCCCCAATCTCCCCTCTGCCCAAGTTAGGGAAGCATTGGGGCTGGAACTAGAGTATGGACTGGACTTTCCGCTGTCTGAAAGTAACTGACAGCCAAGTAAGATGGGGCCAGAACATAAGGAGCTCTCACTGAGATAAGCGCCAGGACCGGGGAGGGAGCGTTCGCAGGGCATGTCTGAAGCTGTAACGCAGAAAATAAAGCTGCGACTTGTCCATATCATAATGAAGTCCGTCCAGGCCACCCATCAAGCCAGTTTCTTCATAACACAGGGAGAACAAACAAAGCAAGGCATACCCACGTGACCGGATAAAAGCTCGAGGCAGATGCTGCAAGAGTGAACGCAGACCAAAGTGGCTGATTCGGGGGACAAGACAGAAAAAGAAAAGTGCAGAGCAGAGTCGGGGTAAAGCAGGAGGCTTGTTTTATTGCAAGCCTTTTACTATTTTTTAAGCTTGCTAAGAATAAAAATAAAACACAAAGAAACTATTAAAACTTTTTAATTGGCCAAAAATTATTTAAGCTGCCATAACTATTATGACCAAGCCAGGGTCCGTATTAAAATTTTAAGAGATTTGTATACACAGGCAGTTCTACTGTAATGTATGTTACGTGTATGTTACCAAAACAAACAAACAAAAAAAATCACTACTATGCAAAGTTGCACAGTGAAACCACAGGGCTTACGAGCATAAAAGAAAATCAGGAACCTAATAAAAACAGTAGCAGTTTTATACACTTAATGGTTAAGAAATATATAAAGGCTATAATAAATGTCACTTTACCTTGAAAAAGACCTGATGTTTGGCTGTCAGAGAGGCTACAGCTTATTATAAAGTGGTAGAAAGAGGTTTATCTGAAATCAGACAGGTCACTTTGTTCCCTAAGACAGGGGTTGCCAATCCCTGGGCCTGTTAGGAACCAGGCTGCACAGCAGGAGATGAGCTGCGGGCCTGCAAGCGAAGCTTCATTTATATTTGCAGCCGCTCCCCAGCGCTAGCATCACCGCCTCAGACCATCAGGCATTATTCCCATGGGAGTACCCGTCCCTGATGCCAAAAAGGTTGGGGACCACTGCCTTAAGATATCGATCACGTTGAAACAAATTCACATTTTTAAATCAAACATGAAAGTAGAATTGACTGTACTTACAAATTTGTTCTAATGAATTTGAAAACTTAGAAGAAATGGAAAATCTTCTAGGAAAATAAAAGTAACCAAAATTAGCCCAGAAAAAATTAGGAAAGCCAGGGTGAGTAGTCAACAATCATAAAATAAACCGAAGTAGTAATCAGAGGTATACTTTCTGCAGAAAGAGTATGGCTCCGCACCATACTTAAAAGTAAGTTCTATCAACACCCAAAGAACAGAAAATTTCCATATCTAATCTGATGCAGAGAGGGGAAACGATGGGACAGCCGTACAGTGCACCATACAAACTTGCGTAACCACACAGACAAAACCAGGCGAGGACAGCACAAACTGTAGACTAATTTCATTTATTAACTCTGATCAAAACACCTAGAGAAAAATATTAGTAAAGTAAAATGAATACTGTACACAGGCACATAGCAAACTATGACAAGGAAGTTTATCCGAGAAATTAAAGGACACTCCATTGTATTAAGTTCTCTTTTCTCAAGTTTGCACGAAGAAAACATCCTGTTGCACTGTGGTCTGTTCCTTGTCACCACCCCTGAGTCCCCTTCTTGGTCCTTTTCATGGCTCTATTCGGTCATGCCCATATTCAACACCTACATCGCTACACTCTTACCCTTGCTTCTAGCAGTGTTCCCAAGGCCGGAAACCACCGCCGTGTGCAACAGGTCAGAAGGTCAGCAAGCACTGCCAAGTCTCCCTCTGGCTCGCTCCATCACCCACTTGCATAGTCCAGATGGTCCACTGGCCCGGCCCTCCTCCAAAACGGCTCCTTCCTGCTTTGCACCCAACTCCTCCCAGGCTCCTTTCTCTACCCATTCACCTGCCACCGTGCCCAGTGTTCACTCGATTACCCTCCCTGCCAGACCACGGCTCCTCTAAAACAAGAACTGGTACATAACTTACCACTGCACCGAAACCACCAGCCCCAGGGGCCAGCACACAGAAAGACCCTCAGTAAATAAGCATTTGGACAAACATGAAAAAGAGCAGGGTGATTTCCCTAATGAGGCCCTAGACATCTGGCTGTGAAGACAACTCGGAACCTGTCTCGGTGAAAAACCTCAAATGATACGGATCATTTCCGTAGGGGCTCTCACTCCCTTCAGCTCAGTGTCCGCAGCTGGCAGTGAAGTATGACCGCCAAAGCAGAGAGCACCAGACACAGAATGCTAGAAGACAAGGAACGTTCTGTGAGATCCAGGGACGGGGTTGCGGGGAGGTGGAGGTGGAAGGACAGGCCGTGAGTTCAGGCCCTGGATGTGACCGTGAAGGGATGACAATGTCCACACTCGGCGCCGAGTAAGCTCTCAAAAGTAAGAAAGTCTCCACTTACCCAACACGAC